ATGGACGAGGGAGATACAGATCAAGGTTGAGTGTTGTGATGTTTATCAGATGCCACTCGGAGTTCATAAATAGAGCTGGTGAGTGCTCAAATTGCCCTGAGTTTGTCTTTCTGACAAACCTTTTGGGTTCCAATAGCATAGCTCTTGGTTTGGTTCTTATTTGGTTTGGTTCTTATTTTTAACAAATTTCACAGTTCCTCTTGGTACCTCAAAAGCACCACTGCAAAAACTTGTACGGCAACTGCATTTGTTTGGCATTCAATGTGGGAAAAAAGGGTTCGACAAAACCCTACTTTAAGCCTCGGAATTTATCTCAAATTTTTAATTAAGCCTCTAGATTTTTATAAAGCAAATAAACATTTGAACTTAACGATTTGAACAATTTAATCATTTTTTTATAGTGGATTTAACACCTATTTATATCTTATTTCTGTGAATAAGATCAATAATCATCACATGTAAGCAATAGCATATCAATAATTTATCCATATAAGTGATATACAAACAAGAGTTTAGTCTACCATAAAGAATAGAGGTTACATTGCTCAAATTACCAAGTTTAAGAGTTTATTTTCTTTACTAAAAATTTAGGAGCTTAATTGAGAATTTAAAATAAATTTGAGGGCTTAATGTAAGCTTTTGCCAAAAGTTTTGGAGATGGAGGAATCCCTTTTGAAGATTTTACTATTGTTGTAAGTCTCTAGTTCTATCTAGAAAAGAAACTCCTGCAAGAACACTACTTTCATTTTAAAAGTTTTGACCTAGACTAGATCTGGTGGTTTTTTTTTTTTCTTTAGGATTTTCCACGTTAAAAATGCTGGTGTCTTATCATTGTTATTGCTTCAATGATTTTTTTTTACCGAAATTATGGCTTTAATGTTTGAATTTGCCTATTTATTGTGCTAGAACAGTCATTTGGTGCCTCTTTACCGTCAACAACATAGAGACACACCAAAAGAAATAGGCATACCAAGTAATGATCATGCAGCACATAAGACATTGATATTTGATTGCCCTGGATATGCTAATCTGTTCACATTGTTGGAGTAGATGAAGATTAGGATGCGGACGGATGGAAGATTTGGAGCTGGAATACAAATACATTCTGCGAAGGAAATTTTTTCTTCAGGAAAAAATTAAAGGAAATTATAATTATTTTAATGATCTCCATATAAGTCCCCAAATTACAAAAGAAGAACAGAGTATTCTGCACTTGCTTCTAATTTCCAAACTTAAAAATCAGTTCTCTGCCCATAAATATTATTTCTTCATTAATAGCAGAATTCATCAGCTTCCATAATACTTTTTTATTACGTTAAAAATCATCAGCTAACATATATTGACTATAAGTATCTATTTTTCAGACAAAATTAGTTCAACATCTCCACTCTTCAATTTATTTATACTCACAATTATGCAATTTTTATTTTCAATAAAACAAATAAGAGTGACCAAAGCAATCGAATATAAACATGAGACACAATTTTTTACATGGAAAACCTCTTCAAATAGAAGAGTAAAAACTACGAGACCTTTGGTCCGTAAAAATAAATCCACTATATCAAGAATGTGATACAAATATAACCACAACTACAGCATAAAGCAAGGGGAAACAAGTGAAAAACAAGAAGAAAATGGATAACAGATGGGAAAAAAGTCACAAAAACAGAGCTTTTGTTCTGATCTCCGAAAGCAATCTCAACCACTTAGACCTAAGATCAACATCCGAAGAAGCCCCCAGATCAAACTTATTCAGACAATCAAACATATCAGAGTATCTGCCACTGCTTGAAGACACTTCATGAGCCTCAGTGTATTTCTGCAATAGCTTTCCAAGAAAACGAGCAGAGACACTGAGGAAGATAGGGTTCAGTTTGTTCCTCACAAATGAACCAATGCAAACTGAATGAAATGCAATCAACAAAGTTTTTGTAATTTGTGCCTCATAGTCATGGTCACTATATACCTACTCTTTGGCAGTATTTTTTTCTTGGTTAGTTGCACATCCCGCAAGGCCCCACCAGAAAAAAATGAGAGCTGAAAAAATATACAAGATTCAATTAACACAATTCAACCCACCAAAAGCAACCTAAATAAAATGTCACCAATACCGTACTGAATAGAGAGAACTTGAGAACTAACCAGCTTTGATGGACATTTAATAAAATGTCAATTAACACAATTTCTGCTTCATCATCGGTCATCATAACCCCTTCTTTAAACTTCCAATACCTTCAACATGAGAAGCTGAGATAGAATATAAATTGTAACTTCTCCAATTAAGCCAATGCTTGATGACCCCTGAAACAAACAACTTTGTCTACTCAATGTCATTGATTAATAGATGATAATTGTTGGCCTTTTCAGTCGGTTTCTATTATCAAATCTTCTCAGTTTATTTTCTTGAGAGATATATTTACCTTCTGAAATAAGATATAAGAGGACATATCTACCTCGTCAATCTGCTTGAGCCTTGAGGATAAGTCCTGCATGTTCAATGTAATTAGTACTCAGTAAGGAAAAACTTTGTGAGCTTCATACTCATCCTAGCTAGAAGGATAATCATAACCTACATGGATGCTATTAAGACCACCCAATTGAGGAGCAATCTTTAGGCGCAAAGGGATCTTGTTCCCAATTTTTCTTCACTCCATGTGTTGACTTTCAATATATTATTGCATCACCCAACACCTTCAGTTGTATACAGATCTTAGTCAAAATCATGTACAATGGATTTTAGAATTCCAGAGAAATGCTGAAAACAAAAAGGTTTGAAATCCGAACCTGGCCTTCAGGTCATAGTGGTTCACCCCCAAGCCTTTAAGTGCTTGGGTTTGTTGGTCAGGGTTTTGAACCCCACCAATGTCTTGAAAAATCTCAGTCCCCCTTCCCCAAATTGTGCACTGTTTAAAACAGTTTGAAATCCATACCATTTTTGTGGTTTTTTGGCCCTTGTAAGAACTCTTTTACCTTAGAGCAGCAAGAGCGTTGAGAATAAATGGAATGGCTGATCTGTTGGTTCTTCGCAAGTAAAAGTTAATGTTTTTTCCGCTCATCAGGTATAGAACTCGTGTATATGGTACTGGTATATGCATGAGTACTGTGGAACAATAGCGTCATACAAAATAGTTCTCCATTTTGAGAAATGTTAAATTCTCTATTCTG